GGCATAGAGGACGAGCACATCCTTCTGCCGCGCAAACAGAAACTGGTTGTCGATGAGCGCCGGTATGCCGTACGACAGGTGTCTTCCGGCCGTAACCACACTCTGGTTCTGTTGCGCAACCAATCGGACGACACGAGTGTAGTGTTGAGCTGCGGGTCCGGTGAGAGACACCAATTGGGACGGGAGGGCAGTTGGCGCCGACTCGAGCCCATCGACGGTCTGTCCCATCACGTGGTGGTGCGGCTGTCGTGCGGCGCCAACCACTCCATGGCACTGACATCCGCCGGACAGATATTCTGCTGGGGATGCAATCTCTTCGGACAGTTGGGTGAGTCTGCCGTCAAGTGGTGTCCAGTCGTCGCGATTGGTCTCAATGTTTGGTTTGTTTTGTTTGTTGTGTGCGAAGGGATCGGCAATAAAGTGGACGAATCGGTGGCCAAACCATCGCTAGTGAAGAGATTGGCCGCAGAAATGGTGGTACAGATCGCCTCCGGAGGGAACCATAGCTTAGCGCTCACTATAAGTGCGAGACATTGAAGTGATTGCCATTTGTCGGCGTTTCTAATGATTTCTTTGCTCAACAGATGGTTATATCTATTCGTGGGGTTCCAACGCATTCGGACAGGTATGCCATGAACTCTTGCCGTGAATATTGTCTCTTAATTACCATTTGTGTGAACAGTTAGGAAATGGTATGAAAGGCAACTGCGAGAACAGGTAACTAAACACAGATATGTGTTGATAATCTCTATTAATTAGTGTCAACACCAGTCCAATAGAGATAATATCTCTGCGATCGGTTCCCATCCGTCAGCTGTCGTGCGGTGGCTCTCATTCAGCTCTGCTGTCATATACGGGAGCCTTATATATGTGGGGGAAGAATGAATTCGGACAGTTAGGTCTCAATGACATCCAAAACAGATCGCTTCCCACCGTTCAGACAACACTCCGATCGCAACGAATCGCGTTCATCGACTGCGGCGAAGAGCATACGGTTGCCCTCACATCAGACGGCGGCCTATTCTCGTGGGGCGCCGGTATGTACGGCCAGTTGGGACACGCGAAGACTCGCAACGTCGATCGCAACGAATCGCGTTCATCGACTGCGGCGAAGAGCATACGGTTGCCCTCACATCAGACGGCGGCCTATTCTCGTGGGGCGCCGGTATGTACGGCCAGTTGGGACACGCGAAGACTCGCAACGAAATACTTCCGCGACGAGTGTTTGAGTTAATGGGAAATGTTGTGACGCAAGTGTCTTGCGGTCGGTGCCATACATTAGCGTCTATTGGATCTAATGGTCGACTCTATTCGTTCGGTCTGAACGGGTCCGGACAGCTGGGGATCGGCACTCAAGTGAGCAAAAGTGTGCCAATCAATGTGTCGGGCAAATGGGCCCATTTGGGTGTGAAGGACGTGTGCGTCCGCAATATTGCCGGCTCTCTATTGCCTGTGATTAGTGATAACCAGTCGTCAAATCCTTCGCCAAACACTTCCGACCCAAACAGTCCTCCAAAATCGAGAAGTCCTCCGAAATCGAGAAGTCCTCCGAAAGACAGGGAAGAAGACATGGATAATCAGATGTCAATCGACGAGTTGTCTGATGGCGATGACAGCGATAGAGACATCTCAGACATCGCCTCCTCGGACGAGACGGCGATCATCGAAGAACCGGATGACATGACTAAAGAAGTTATTAAAACTCCGGGATTTATCTGCACTTCCGATATGATTGTGTCAACAAAACCTGATTCCATAGAAATAGATGAATACCTATCGGATCCCGACTCCGACAGTCAACTCCATACCGAACGCCAACAACTAGTCCTCAAAGAAATTGTTGCCTCAAAAGGCGACCAAAGCTTTGTATTAGTAGTGAGACTAACCGACAGCAGCTGTCCATTGGATTTTAGATTTAATCAATCCTTTGATGAGATCTATAAATTGGATAATAAAAGGTTAAAACTATTGAATGAAACGCTTGAAGATAACGCCATATCTCTGGACGACATCGACTACATAGAGAATGCCTTTACATCCATCTCGTGCTGGAACTCCAGTTTCATTGATAGCGAGACCACAGCTGACTCAGCCTTACCTGCAATCGATTGGATTTCAGCGCAAAAAGCCTTTGAATTCATAGAAAACGCCAAAAATAGTCGAATCAAAGAACTCGTCTATCAATCAATTCTGAAGTTAATTCCCGTTTTACCCGACATTAACGATCAGAACTCTTTGGATCCGGAAGTGCTTCGAATATACCTATTGTTACCACTCTTTCACTTGTTTCGAACCGATTATAAAAATCCAGAAATAATGCGAAAACTGATCGCCGGATACATGAGAGCCGTCCTCCGTCTACACGACTACGCCATTGATGTGATTAAGCAGTGGTTCAGAAGATTAGACGCCAAACACTTTCGGCAAATCGTTGTCAACGTTAAGAACTATATTACAGAAGTGTTTGACATTCAGAACAAACAAAACAAAGCCAATGAAACGGTTGAACCGGAGGGCCGGCGAATAGACGCCGCTCTTCACGACAATTTAGGTCTGAGTTTAGACTTTATGGCGCTTTTGCATAGAGTTAACCAAAAGAGTAACAAAATGTCGTACAAAGACTTCTACATCGAAGGCATCCACGATATGATTGACGTGGAGAGGGATTACGTGGAATGGCTTCAGTACCGCTCTGGAGGCCAATCTAACCGTATGGCTGGTGTGAAACCTCTGTTTCTATGCAACTATGCCTTCATCTTCGATCCGCCCGCGAAGACACAGATTCTGACCATTGACTCGAAGGTACAACAGAGCGAAGCCTATGACCACTCGCTGTACACGAGTCTAATTAACCCTATTATCTACGGAAATGCACTCTTAGTGGAGACCCCTTTCCTCGTGCTGTCTGTCGATCGGCAAAACATATTACAGCAAACCATAAATCAATTGTGTTATAGAAGTCAGACTCGAAATGTGTTCAAAAAGCCGCTGAAAGTGAACTTTGAAGGCGAAGAGGCCATCGATGCGGGCATTGGTATGAAGAAAGAGTTCTTTATTTTACTGATGAAAGAGGTTTTGGACCAAAAGTACGGAATGTTTTGCGAATACAATGAGACGAACAGTATTTGGTTGAATCCGGGAGAGGCCGCAGATAACGACGAACTCGTCAACTATAGTCTGATTGGCATTATCTGTGGGCTCGCCATCTATAACCAGGTCATCATTTACCTGCCCTTCCCTTTGGTGTTGTATAAAAAGCTATTGGAGGAGCCGTTGGACTTAGAAGATCTCAATTGTTTGGATCCAATTCTGACCAAAAATTTGCGCCAAATTCTTGAGACGACATACTCTGAGGAAGAGTTCAACGCTATCTATAGTGACATGAACTTCACGATTACGTTAACCTGTTTTGGGTCTCCCGTTGAGTACGAACTGGAAAGCGGCGGCAAAACGAAGGCTTTGAACTATAATAACCGCAAGGATTACGTAAACCTCTATTGGAATCACATTCTGAACGAATCGGTGAAACAGAAGTTCCAGTCATTCAAAGACGGCTTCCACCGAGTGATGGATCCGGGAATTCTGAGTCTATTCCACGCCGAAGAACTCATGCAATTAGTGTCGGGACAGGAGGTGTACGACTGGCATCTCATGCAGACGTCGGCCACCCGTTATAAGGAGCCGTTCAGTGCCTCCCATCCCACGATTGGTATGTTTTGGAATGTCTTCCATTCCCTCACTAATGACCAGAAGAAGAAATTCCTGCTCTTTCTGACAGGAAGTGATAGAATACCTATTCTGGGGATGAAAGCCCTCAATGTAAGTGCTATTGAAGTGATGGTGACTTAAGTGTATTCATGTCTGTCTTGATCTTGATTTAGATAATAATACAACCGATGAGAGTGAGTGACGATCACTTGCCTGTGGCCCACACCTGCTTTAATGTCCTCGATTTGCCCGAACACTACTCCTCTGACCACAAGTTGCGACAAAAGCTACTTCAGGCCATTGAATGCATTCATGTGTTTACTCTCGCATAACACCAAACACTGCAATCACTACACAATTACATAACTATAGCACAACTAATGCTCTATTTATTGATTAGCTATTAATACATCGAAAGATTTACTTTTCAATTATTAGTGATTTATGAGTCCCTAAAGTGTTTATAAATATAAATAAATATAGAGATTATTAATTGTATTATAAGATAATATATAAGAATTGTTAACAATTTATATGACATTTAGGTGACTTAAACATGTTCACAATTGTCGATATTTTTATAATTTAAGAATTTGTACAATTACCGGTACACTGGTGAGATAACTATATTAGAGTCTTATAATTGGATATTTTTGACAATTTGTTAGATTATTGTTAATTGAATTAATAAGAGATTTCTACTTCAAAAGGATTGTTTNATATTTTTGACAATTTGTTAGATTATTGTTAATTGAATTAATAAGAGATTTCTACTTCAAAAGGATTGTTTGATTAATGCCTTGAAATAACTTATTGTTTAAGATTGTAATTAAAATATAAACATTGCTTTTATACTAAATAAATTCAAATACTTGTTAAATAATGGTTTACTGAATGTTTCATTAATTATGAAAAACGTTATAAATAAATACAAATGAGTGGACAATAGTTTGAGTGAAATGAATGAATTTGAGATTTGTGTGAATAGTGTATAATAATAATAATGATAACTTGTAGTCATTTCACACCAATATGTTTCAAAACGAATTATAAAACCAGATCCCTGTCCACTACAGTTGAATAAATGCATTCAATATAGTATTCAATTCAATCATTCATTCAATAATACATTTGTGTTTGAAATGAATTCTAAAAGTTTGAAAACATTTTTACCCACATTTACTACGTAAAAGTGGGTTATAGTTTTGGTTTGTACCACCTATGTTAAACCTATGCATGATTCATGACCGTCATGAGAGAGGCACTCGTGATGGGAGGGTCGGGAACAGCGCATACTAGGGATTCCGAGATCCCCGGACGCGCTCAGCCTTACAATATTTATTTTGTTTATAAATATTTTATATATAAATCAAATGTTTATAAGTAATTATAATAATTGTAAAGAAATGTCAATAAATAATTTTAAAAACTTATTTAAGTTATATGTTCAATAAATATGTACACAAATCTTCTTTTACTGGTTATATTTTATTTCAATATTTAGTCACATTTAAATAATGCTTTTGATTTTAATTACTTATTTCATTGCAGATTTAAAGGTCAGTTTTATGTGTAAAGCATAACATAATTGTTAATATAATTAGTGCAGAATATTCTTTAATATGTGTTCTCTATGTGTTGAGTACTAACTGTGAAACTAAAGACAGAATTCTGTTATTTTTTGAAAGCAATGATTACTCAAAACCTCAAGTTTTCTCTCTATTTGACAAATATATTGATCGATGTATTCATTGTTAACACCATTTAAACGCCTCCACTATTAGTATTAAATACCATTTATTGACTTATTGTCGCCAATCGTTCATTTAAACATACAATTCAATGAATATAACAATTGAAACATATATTCTTTACTTTTATATTTATATTAAATGTCATATAAAACAAAGATATGAAGAGTTGGTGTAGAAATGCAAACTATAATGATTTCATTGGATTTGTTGGAAACGGTAGGAAAAGTTTGTTTTAATGATATCCACGTCGACCCCACATAAGAGGAAGTCTACCAAAAGTTAATACAACAATAATTCTCTATTATTCTGTGTTTTATGCGGTTATCAGAGTGTATGCGCACAAAGTATTCAATATTTATGCATTGAATACAATCATAAAGTTGAGAGAATAATGCAAACAATGTTTGAATTTTAATAAATGCAATGTTTGGCCACCAAAAAGGATTTATAAACCAATTTGAATGCACTGACGAGATAAATGGTGTGCCTTTTTCTATAAATACTATGAAACCTTGAATAATGCAAACAATGTTTGAATTTTAATAAATGCAATGTTTGGCCACCAAAAAGGATTTATAAACCAATTTGAATGCACTGACGAGATAAATGGTGTGCCTTTTTCTATAAATACTATGAAACCTTACTATAAAACATCATAAAATCAGTTTAAAAGTTTTGATCTTCATATTCACGCGTTGACTTATTTTGTGAACAAATTTCACCACAATTGTCTTAAAGTGATAATTAATAATTATACATATTTATTCATTATTGATAATAACTTATTAAATATTAAAAATTAAATGTTTATTTGTCATAATAATTATAAGGAGTTTGCTGTCATCCTATTCTATAAGAATTGAAGTTTATTATGAAATTACTATAAAGAGTTGTAAGCATCGGAACAATGATGAAACTGACCCAGGACGCGGCCACATCACCTACAGTTCCCATCATAAGCCAGCAATACTACTGTACGGTCACGTGTTGTAATGGAGACAACTGTAAGCCGTCGACAATTCTTAAAGGTGTCAGAAATCCTTACTATTGTCCCAATCGAGAGCTATTGACATCAAACGGCTTTCAAGCGTCAAATGGAGTGACAAAAAGTTGCAGCTTTTCCGACACCACCCCCACTCCATACACACCTACCGTTTCCCCGCAATGTCTAGCAGTGGATAACTTCTACATCAGTGGCCACGGATGCTTCCGACGTGCCGTTCCCACAATGCCTTTAGTTATGGCACTATTCCTATCTCTACTTAATCTCGTACTTCCCGGTTCTGGTTAGTAGATATTCTTTCAATTTTATCTGGATCATTTTCCGTTTAGTTAACTATGTTCAATTAATTGTTTTTAATTATAATTATAATTTATTCTTTTGTGGGAATTTTATTATTGAAAATATAATTATCACTTTATAAAGTACTAGAATTAATTGGTCTATAAATAAATACAGTATAAAGTAATAAAGTTTTTATTATGTAAACAAAGTTACAATAAGTTTAAGAACACTTTGATGTTGCAATAAATATTTGTTTCAATTGTATGACAAATATATAATAAACAAAGACTTAATTATTATTTCTTAATTTTCAATATCAAAACTACACAAAACACCAATCGATTGCGAGTTCAGCCCATTATTAACACTCTTTTACTATAATGTATATAAGTTTTGGTAAAATAGTTTTGCATTCAATACTAAAATCGATAAGGTTTTCAGGTATTGAATAAAAAGGAAAAATGGTTATTTTTGTTTCGCTTTTTCAGAAGTTAATTACAATAATTTTGTTATTATCGACAAAAGTCGACAATTATAACACAAAAATAATCACAAAACTATCCCTCGATTCTGAACGCAACGCCAAAAAACATATTTTCTCTAATTTT